GATGCACTAGTGAGCGCACTTGAGTGTGGGGGCTTACCATGTGCGGGCAGGGATGCGTTCTTAAGCAACCGCGCTTGAGTGTCTGCAGGCATGGATGCACTGGTGAGCGAGCGCACTTGAATGCGGGCGCTTGGCATCTGCAATCACGGATGCACTGGTGAGCGAGCACGCTTGAATGCGGGCGCTTGGCATCTCTCTATCACGGATGCACTGGTGAGCGAGAGCGCTTGAGTGTGGGTTTGTAAAATTTGTGAGCCTGGGCGCACTGGTGGGCGAGCGCGCTTGAGCGGGTTCGTACCATCTGCGGGCGCAGGTTTCGACGCTATTAGAGCGGGTGTGTTTCGTGTGGCCAGCGCAGCTTTTTACGGCCTTCTGAGGCCACTCATGGTGTTTCGCGTGGCAGGCGCCGTTTTTTCTGCACGTTGGGCGTCAACAAAACGCTCTCGCGCTCGCACCCATGTTCGCAGCTGGAAAGAACCCCTCGCGCCAACAACAACAGCAGCAGCAGCGACAACAACAACAACAGCAACAACAGCAATAGCGACAACAACGACAACAACAACGACAACGTTAACGACAACCACCGACAACAGCCAACCACCACCACCACCACCCAAAAGAACAACAACAACAACAACAACAACAACAACAACAACAACAACAACAACAACAGCAACAACAGCAGCAACAGCAACAGCAACAGCAACAGCAACAGCAACAGCAACAGCAACAGCAACAGCAACAGCAACAACACCAGCAGCAGCAACAACCGCAACCACAACCACAACAACAACAACCACAACAATCACAACCACAACAACCACAACAACCACAACAACCACAACAACCGCAACAATAACAAGAACAAGAACGACAACGACAACGACCGCGACAGCGACAGCGACAACGGCAACGACAACAACAACACCACCAACAACACCACCAACAAGAACAACAACAACAGCAACAGCAACAGCAACAACAACAACAACAGCAGCACCAGCAACAACAACAACAACAACAACAGCAGCAGCAACAACAACAACAACAGCAACAGCAACAACAACAGCAACAGCAGCAACAACAACAACTGCAACAACAGCGACAACAACAACAACAACAGCAACAACAACAGCAACAGGAACAGCAGCAGCAGGAGGAGCAGCAGCAGCAACAACAACAACATCAGCAGCAGCAGCAACAACAGCCACAAACGCAACAGCGACGACGACGACGACAACAACAACAACAACACCAGCAGCAGCAGCAGTAGCAGCAGCAGCAACAGCAGCGACAACAACAACGACCGCCAACACAACAACAACAACACCAACACCAACAACAACAAGAACAATAACAAGAACAAGAGCAAGAACAACAACAACAACAACAACAACAACAACAACAACAACAACAACAACAACAACAACAACAACAACAACAACAACAGCGGCAGCAGCAACAACAGCAACAACGACCACAACAACAAGCAACAACCACAACAACAACAACAACAACAACAGCAACAACAACAACAACAACACCAACAACACCAACAACACCAACAACATCAACACCACCAACAACATCAACACCACCAACACCACGACGACGACTACGACGAGGACGACAGACAACAACATCAACAAAACGGCGCTTGGACGGCTTGTAAACGAACGCTGCAGCGAGACGCAAGACCGCGAACCGCCCAAAACATTGAACAAGGCTGTCATTTCGGAGCTTTTTCAATGCTTATCTGGCGCCAGCTATGCGTGAAACGACGACCCTGCTGCGCTACAATTTCTAGCGTTTCGCATTCGCGAAACTGCCTCCGGTGTGTTCGCTTAGGCGAAAACACCAACGAAAGTGAATCGAGGTGTTTTCATTTAGACGAAAACACCATGGGAGGTTAAATCAGTTTGGCACTGGCAAGCCAAAGCCCAACAGCAACCACCCATCAGCGTTATGCGACGGTGAAAACAGGCAACGGCAATCACAACCATACTGGTGAGAGAGAGCGCTTGAACGTTTGCAGGCATGGATGCCCTGGTCAGCGGGGTCAGCGAGCGGGCGCATCTCACCAAGGCTTCCTTCCATTTGCGGTATCTGCGGGCATGGATGCGCTGATGAGCGAGCGCTCTTGAGCGTGGGTTCTTACTGTGTGCGAGCTTAGCGCTGGTGAGCGAGAGCGCTTGAGCGTTGGTCGACGTGAAAGCCAACAAGCTGGTCCAGGCTTTCGGCAACGCAATGAAAAGTGGGTTGAATATGATCGACTGAAGCAACTTCTCTTCAGTTTAGCGTCATGTTCTGGCCTGGTTTGAATCATTTGAGCCAGCCTATTATTGGGCTTCGCGTGGCCCAGGTGTCCGAATGTCCTATTTGTTGTGTCACCCTCTTTTGGGGACTTTGTTACCCTTTTCAGGGAGTTGTTCTTGTTGGCGTCTTTGCGGGTATTTGATTACCTGTTTGGGGGGGGGTTGCTATCTCTTCCCGGGGGCGGGGATGTTGTTGCCTTTTTGGGGGAGAATTTGTTGCCCTCTTTTATTGAGATCGCGTGCCCTTTTTTGTGCTTCCCCTTCTCAAAAACTTGTTACCTTTTTGCGAAAAGAACTTGTCACCCTCTAGCCTCTCGCACGGGGCTTTCGGTGTCCTCTTTCGAAGGCTTGTCACCTCTTTTGAGTTTGTTATAAGAGGGAGGCGGCTCTTGTAGGGGGGGTGGGGTTGTTACCACTTTCGGGGGGACGTTTTTCCCCTCCCCCGTGAATTCTCTGCGAAGAAATGTTGGCTGACAGTCTGTAGAGAAAATGCGGTTGACGGCCAATAAAATTCTCTATAAAGGAAATGCGGCCGATGGCGCTTGAAGTTCTCTGTGGCGAGCTTTGAAACTCCTGGCGGAGAAAATAGTTTCGATTGCCGGAGCTACAGTCAGGCACGCTGAGCTTCCGAATTTCGCTTCCCCGCCGAAACTCGTTTCCATGGAAACACTGGCAACCAAAAGTTTTCAGTCTTTTCAATCTTTTCACACGAGGGAATTTGCAATTTAAGTCCGGGACGTCCCGGATTGCAATAAGGATTTTCGGGGAAACCGTTGTTGGATGCGCTGGTGATCGAGCGCGCCCCAGCGTGGTAAGAAAGATGCACAGGAGGGTGTGCGCGCTGGAACGTGGGTTCTTACCATCTGCGGGCACGTGCGCGAGCTGGAGTTCTTACCATCTGCGGGCACGGATGCATCACTGAGCAGGCGTTTGAGCACGGGTTCTTACCATCTGCGGGCAAGGATGCACTGGCGAGTGCGGGCATGGATGCACTAGTGAGCGCACTTGAGTGTGGGGGCTTACCATGTGCGGGCAGGGATGCGTTCTTAAGCAACCGCGCTTGAGTGTCTGCAGGCATGGATGCACTGGTGAGCGAGCGCACTTGAATGCGGGCGCTTGGCATCTGCAATCACGGATGCACTGGTGAGCGAGCACGCTTGAATGCGGGCGCTTGGCATCTCTCTATCACGGATGCACTGGTGAGCGAGAGCGCTTGAGTGTGGGTTTGTAAAATTTGTGGGCCTGGGCGCACTGGTGGGCGAGCGCGCTTGAGCGGGTTCGTACCATCTGCGGGCGCAGGTTTCGACGCTATTAGAGCGGGTGTGTTTCGTGTGGCCAGCGCAGCTTTTTACGGCCTTCTGAGGCCACTCATGGTGTTTCGCGTGGCAGGCGCCGTTTTTTCTGCACGTTGGGCGTCAACAAAACGCTCTCGCGCTCGCACCCATGTTCGCAGCTGGAAAGAACCCCTCGCGCCAACAACAACAGCAGCAGCAGCGACAACAACAACAACAGCAACAACAGCAATAGCGACAACAACGACAACAACAACGACAACGTTAACGACAACCACCGACAACAGCCAACCACCACCACCACCACCCAAAAGAACAACAACAACAACGACAACAACAACAACAACAACAACAACAACAACAACAACAACAACAGCAACAACAGCAACAGCAACAGCAACAGCAACAGCAACAGCAACAGCAACAGCAACAGCAACAACACCAGCAGCAGCAACAACCGCAACCACAACCACAACAACAACAACCACAACAATCACAACCACAACAACCACAACAACCACAACAACCACAACAACCGCAACAACCACAACAACAACATCAACAACAACAACAACAGCAACAGTTACAATATTAACAATAATAGTAAAACTACAGACAACAACAACACCAACAACAACACCAACAGCAGCAGCAGCAACAACAACAACCACAGCAGCAGCAGCAGCAGCAGAAGCAGCAACAACAACACCAGCAGCAACAGCAACAAACAACACCAACAACACCAACAACAAGAACAACAAGAACAACAGCAGCAGCAACAAGAACAACACCAGCAACAACAGCAGCAGCAGCAACAACAACAGCAACAGCAACAGCAACAACAGCAACAGCAACAGCAGGACCAGCAACAGCAACAGCAGGACCAGCAACAGCAACAGCAACAGCAGCAACAGTCATCGCAACACCAGCACAACAACAAAAACACCACAACCGCAGCAACCGCAAATCAACATCAACATCAACAGCACATGCAGCAACATCAACAACAAAAACCCGAACAAGAACAGGCGCCAGAGCAAGAACAGTAGCTACAACAACAACACCAACAACAACCAACCAGCCAGACAGCCAGCCAGCCAGCCAGCCAGCCAGCCAACGAAGCAACCAACGAACCAGCCCGCCAAAAACAACAGCAGCAGCAACAACAGTCAACAATCGCGGGTCATCAGCAAGCGCAACCAGAGCAGCAACAACAAGAGAAATATCAATAACGAGAACAAGAACAAGAGCAATAGCAAGGTAAAGAACAACAACGAAAGCAACGGCAACGGCAAAACAGCTTGGGTTGTTTTGTAGCCCCACGTCGGTCAGGGACGAAGGCCGTTTTTTCTCGCAACCTAGCTTTGGTCGTCCCACCGGCCCTCTCCTGGAGGTTGTTTGGTGACGACCTCGAAAAGGCGCACAAGGCTCTCAGAGCCATGCTGCGCGAGATCGAGGCCGGCGCAATGCCTGCCTGACTTGTCTCACCGGAAGTCCGGGGCGAGCAACAAGGCAACAAACACGTGGTTTCATCAGCCCCTTGAAGTTTGGCCCTTACATCGACACCAAGGTGCCACTAGCAGATCGAATCCAAAGGGCTCACCAGAATTCCACAGGCAGACAGACAGATGCAGCTTGTTCAAGGGTGCTTCACTTTTCAACTTGTTTGCCTCACTTTCCAACTTGTTGATGGGTTCAACGTTGTGGCCGCGAAGCGACTTTTGACTTGGGGAAGGCGCTGCGCCCGCATTGCGGGACTGCGGGGCCAGCGGTGCGGCGCCGCAGTGATGGCGCCCCAACCTCCCTCACTTTCACCGCAGCCTTCCCTCTCCCAAAACGTATTGCGCAATCGCACAACTCCTGCAATTGTGGCGACGGCCTGCTCCCCGCACGGTTTGGAGAAGCTGTTCAGAAACTGAGCTTGCAACAGCCCAACCCTTGAATGACACAGTGCTCCCAACCCTCGCCCAAACATGGGCACGGGCGCACCACATGAGTGGTGACGCTGGAGCAGACGCGTCGCCTCACAAGCCTTGGCAAAAAAGTGCCAAACTTTCCTCCGGAAAGCGGTGTTCTAGGAACCTTTGTCCCACGCCAGCCATGCTGTGCCACGCGCGCGCGCAGAATTTTCAGCAAAGTTGGAACCCGAGACTGAAATTTTGGTTGGCTGCTGCCAACGACTCGCCTAGCCAGCGACGTTCCTCCACTTATTTTCGCTTAGGCAGGCTCTGAAAACAACCAATCATTCTGTTCAACAGCTCCCTCTCCACGCTGTGTGTGAAGAGTAGCTTTGCCAGCGACCCTTTGCAGGCCAGCGCTCTTGTAATCAACATTCGCCTTGCTAGATTGGAGGAGGCGGCTTTAAGCATTGCGAAGCGGACCTGTGCTGCGTTAGACAGTGTGCTTTAGGTACAAATGTCAGTGATTGGGTGTGTCTGACGCGGCCGGGGCTGGCCTTAAACGAAGGTGCGAAGGCTATGTGGTAGGGTAGGGTTTTGGTGGAAGATGGCCAGTTTGCAGGATTTGCCGACACTTAGGAAACTATCGAAGAGTTGCGTTGTTCAACTTGCTGGAAACTGCCTGGGAGGGTGAAGGACGTACTCAAAATCTTGGGTTAACCCGATGCTGGGCTTACGGCTTGCCTTGCTTTGAGCGCAAGGGCTTCAATTGGGTATTAGAGGCACAAAGCAGGAAAAACAAGTCTAATTCTGAAACAGTGTCAGCAGTCTAGCGTGATATTGCCGTTGTCTCCCAATTCCGAGGCTGTAAGTCTTTTGCGTTGTTTTTGAAGTTAGACTAGCGGAGTTCTTCTTATCAACTCCCTGGATGTGAGGCTCCAAACCGCTGAGCACAGAAAGAAGCAGCTATGCCTAATTTATGTTTGATAGGGTTAAAAAGTGTAAACCGTTTCGAGCTTGAGTGTTAGTTCACTGCGAAGCCGTTTTAGACGAGAAAGCACGGGGAACATAAAACACACCACTTGACGTGTCCTCAATGCCTCGGGCGTCCTTTGTTTCGCATGTTGACAAGCGTTAACTAGACGAACGCATTGATCAGATGCTGTGGCGGTTCAAGTCCTGCAGGGCATTTTCCTCACGCAGGGAGCAATATCAATCATTTAACCATGGCGCGGGTTGTTGGCTGGTTGTCCTCGGGTTGAGCTCATGGCCGATATGAACATGACTTGTGAACTGTAGTCAAGTCTGGTCTTAATGCGCAGAGTAGCACCATGCGTGCGGCGCAGTGCCACATAAAGGCGCATGTCCCGTATCACGGGCGCACCTTCTGTGAATTGGCGTGTTGCGTCGGAAGACAATGAAAAGCTGGTACATGTTCCAGACACATGTATGAATACTGCATCTGTGTCTACTTGGCTTGTTTGCATCTGGGTCTGTAGCTCGTTTTTTGCTGCTTTATTGGTTGAGACGGCAACCGTCATCGTCGTGTTCAACCTTGAAATGCTGTAGAAGTAGTTTCTACGCGCACGCAGGTGTCAGTTACCACACATGTTGCCGCGGGCAACAGGCGCACAAGAATGATGCCTGCCCACTATTGGGTATCAGGTAGCGCATGCTGTTCACGACTCAGTGCACAATGGAAACGGTTTCCGTCATGAGGTTATTCCCAAAAAATCTACTTTGTTGCGGGGTTTAGGATATGCCTCTGTTCATAGCAGTGTTGAGTTTCATAAGTACTTCTCAATCCGCAACGCCTGTACGCAGGGACACGTCACGAAACGAAGCTCGCTTAGAGCTTTTGGAGCGAGCGCAGCTACTAGCGCACCGCACGATTGGTTAAACTTGCATGCACCAATAGACGTGCTAGCTGATTGTTGCTCTGGGTTTGTATTTTTGACGTGTGTCCAAGTTAGTAAGCGCAGGAAGTTCGACGACAGCGAAACACACCCCCAACACCTACATACCCCGAAACATACCCGTGAACCACACCCGTGGAACATACCCCCGAAACTGCCCGTCTTCCATCTTTTTCTCAAAACCACGCCCCCACCGATGCACGGTTTGCGGATTGCGCGGTTTACGGAGTATAGTATGCGGTTTGCAGGATACTGATTACTGGTTGCATTGATTTTCGGTGCTCCTGCAGAAGGTTCGGACCCGCAACATGTCAGTTCCGTAAGAACAGTTGCGCGCAACGCACGAGGGTAGATGAGTAAAGGAAGTTGAGAAGGAGTTTCCGTGGTGTGGAAACCAACTGACTGTGTGTTCCTGTGCAGCATCATAAAGACCACATGCGGCTTCCCGACGCTTGCGCAGTTTGCACACAACCACGCTGCGCCCTGTATTTCCAAAGAGTACTCCGGCCCGGTCGGCCCCGCCCTGACGCCCGGTCATGCAGTTTCCCGCGGCCGGTTTCGGAACTGGGCGTACCTACCGCCTCCGTCTACTACTATGGCACCGAAGAAGGAAACGCTGCCTTCTTCTAAGGCCCGCGTGGCAGGCCTACCACCACGAAACCCACGACATTAACGACTCTTTGGGTTTCCCCATTAAGTTCACTGGAGAAGTGTTCAGCGCTTGATCATGGAGACTTCTCTACATTGACAAAGAGTTACATTTCCGCCGCATGTGTTGGATGTGGTAGCGCCGTCCACAGCATGGTGTTATGTATCCAATTCCCAAAATTTCTTTGGAGGTTTTCGGCGGCCGCATTCGCCGATGTCTTGCTGACGATTCAACTACGGTCATGAGGCGTGCAGGGGATGCCGTGCTCCTTTACGATCACAGCCTTGCTTTGGCTGCGCCGGGCCGGTCAAGTGCCAATTCGTCGCTCAAAGCCAAACAAAATTCCTCATGACAGGCGAGAAGCGCCGCCGCTGCCTCTTTGGCGCGTCACGCAACGGGAGCGGCGCATTTTGCCCTTGTCAGCTTCGCAACTGCAAATCATCGTGCTGGAATGCTTCTTGACATCGTTTTCAGATTTGCAACGTATCAATGCCTCTTCCTGTGTGTTCGATGGCTTTTCCCTCCTGGGTCTTTTGGACCCCTCCCCGAGCCTGGCCTTGTTCCCCCTGGTTTTGTTTGCCGACTTCCTGTGTTTCAAGCACGGAAAATTTGACGTGTCGGTCGTGTTTCATCTTGTGTTTTTGTGGCCGGGGAACTCGTGGCATGTAGTCCCACTGCGCGTGGCTGCTCAACCTTAAAGACTCTGGAACGGCATTGCGGAGCTGACCTCACTTCAGCTACTAATTGGTTGTTTCTTTGGCCTTGCCTTTCTTGCAGTTGTACCCTACCCTGGGGATCAATTCCACGTCAACACTGTTGCTGGCAACCCTTTTTGTTTGGGGGGGGTGTTCTGTCGGTCTCTTGCTTTTAGGAGCTGCGTCCATGGAATCGCTCAAACATATTCGTTCCAGATGCGGCGTGCCATCATCAGTGGCGGAACCCCTGCTGTCAGAGGGTTGGACTTTAGGAAAAGATGCATCTGCACCAATCCGTCCACCGCAGCCGCCACATTATCTGACAACGTGTGAAAGACAAGAGGGCCAAACGGGGAAGGGCCAACTGGGCAAGAGCCTTCCAGTCTTGAAACATTGCAAATGAAAAAGGATCTGGGAACCAGAAATATTGACCATCGCCCGCGTGAATGCAGCCACCGACGCCGCACGCCGGTCATCCAGCGCCCTACATCGAGCTAGCTGGAACCTGAACAGCGTGAACTACTGAGCCCAGGTCACTACTTTTGCAAATACAGTAGAATTGATGAACAACAATGGTTTTCATCACTACTGTCAATCCATGTTTTGCACTTCAGTTGAAAAGGTACTACAAAGACCTTTTCACTGAGGGGCCGTGTCAAACTACATGCTTCACTTCCTGCATTTGTGTTGCATGTATGTTCACTACTGCAGGCCTTGAGCTCACTACTTCGCACGAGTGAAAAGGTTGGCAGCTGCAGACTACATCGGTTGACTGTTTGTTTGAACACTACAGCACTTGCACTTGCAAGCAAAGTAACAACCGATTTTAACGAGAGAGAGAGAGAGAGAGAGATGAAATCCGTTCGTCTCACATACGTAAAAATACGCAAACGAGTCCACTGATGGCTTGGGCTTGGAAGGGCTGGGGTCACGGATGGCCAAATGCGATCTGTTGACATAGCCTTGCTCAAGATCATCGCGAGCCCGGACTTCCTGATGGTGCGCTGCAAAAAGCCGGCTGGCCACTGGAATGCCAGCGCTTGGTGCGCGCACCTTAGGTCATGCGAAAGACAATCAGAAAGGGGCTGAAAGTATCCTGCGCCGAAATGGGTCGCCGGTACAGCGGTGAAATCTCTATAGGAACAACAGCTTCCTGAGGAGAGAGTTCTCGGGCTTGTCTGTGTCTGAGTCGGTCAAAGCTGAGCTGGAGCTCGTCCAAAAAGGGGACATCGCGTTGAGAATCCGGAATTCCGCTGGAGGACCCCGCGCCTGACAATAAACAACCATGAATGAAGAGGT